GGGTGAACCGACCTAGGGATATAGCAAAATTATAAAGGAACCTCGTTTACTATGGAACCCAACGGTAAAAACAACCTCGAACGTAAAGTCGAACACGTTAAATGAGTTAGAGGTTCAATCAAATAAAACATTATTCAGTCCTCGGTAATGAATGGAATGAAATGAATGAATGAAAGGATCTATTTGATTTAAGACCAATTTGTTGAATTACTGTAGGTATACATCACTAGTATCCAGTACGTTGGTCAGGTGCTGAGACTTCTGCTGAATATATTTGTAGCATTTGAGTTACAAGCATTTGAATATAGATTTCATTAGTAAATTCACCATGTTTAAGAAATCCCATAGATTCAAAGTTAATTCGCTATTCCTAAAGTACCTGAAAATTCGTCATGGACAAAGAAAAGTTTTAGAAAGTGCCGCTAGCAAATTTCAGCACATGCAGTTATATTTTTCTACAGATATATGTATTTTTTGTAAATTATTATCAGCTGTTTTCGTGGCTCGACATTGTAATATTGATTACAAGCTAAAACCATTGATTACTAACAGTATATCAGGTAACAATAACACAAAGCGAGATAACTGTCCTCTTAATACTCTGTGCAAATGGTACTAGACACAAAAGATCGGCATTAAAAATATGTATTCATCTTTTGCTTATAATAATGTTTGTATATATTCAGATTTTGATAAAATCAATATATTAGGTATTTATTTTATTTTTTTACCATTAGCGCTCTATTTAGTCCCTTTAACCAAATATTATTAAAATTATTTAAATAAATAACATTCAATGAAGAAGTATTAAAAAAAACGAAAGCACTAAAAGAGCACCTCCACTAGATAGCGACTCTAGCAAAAGTTGATTTTTGCAGAAAACGAATGGACCAAAGACAGTCATTTCCGTTCCTTTTAACTAACATATTAAAAACTTAAATTTGAAAAGTTCTAAACTTAGATATCAATACAAACACGAAAAAGTACAAATAGAATATGAGTTATTACTTGTAAACTTGAAAGACAACCGGAAAGGTTGTCATGGAGAAATCAAGAACGTACCGTAGCGATATCTACTTAGTTTGATTTCGGGAACTAATGTTTTTTCTTTTAAATACTTCCTTATTACAAAGAAAACCAATATAATATACAGAATTCAAATATGAAACGCACATCGCTCATAACTTAAGGCAGATATTAATAACGAATAATCCGTTTATCGCAAGACAATGTGATGGGAAGTTTTTATCCGTTTCTATGTAATATCACCTTATTATACTCACTTACTAGCATTTACAATCAAAGTAACAGGAAAAGAAATGTCATAGGAATTCGAAGCGACTTATTATAATATGTATTGGATAATTCTAATACAATTTTGTAACAATGTAGCTTGAAATAAAGTTGTTACTCTCATATTAAAAGACATGAATCTATAGTTTAATTTAGATTCATTATTTTGATTTATAAAAGTGGTCTTCAGTCGACACAGTCCATAAAGGGTCTAAAACATCATTAAATCAAATATTCGGGACATGCGTTCAAAATAGTTTTATTTAATGATAAAAATAGATTGTAAATTATAAAGTGTTAAGACTATCCTTTTCCTATCAGCATGTTACCATAAAAATATACTATAACTATTAAATATATCATAAGATTTAATTTAAAATAGTTTTCAAATGAAATTTTCAATGAAAATTATCTTAAGTTTTATCATTAATGAAACTAATGATTTTACTATGAACTCATAATAATTTTGTTTATATTCCCTCTACTGAATACCAATACAATACATTTTTTTACACATTAAAGAAAATATTGTAACTCTATACATTTTTACAAATCATTTATTGAAATTAGCTCCATTTCAGCTGAGTTTTGCGTTGTTTATATTTTTTTGTTCTATGTAACATAAATAAGCTTATTAGTATTGAAGTATGACTTGGACAGTAATAAATATACATCTTGTGTCTCTAGGTTGTCTGCTGTATAATTATGATATACTAGAATAATAGCATCATCGAGATTATACAAATTATTTGATTGCGATCTATCACGTAGGTTGGGACGATTAATATTATTATGAAAGCCCGAGTTGACAAGAGATTTGTTGTCATTATAACAACATTCACTACATAATGACGTCAAACAATGGAATTGTAATCTTTAACGACTGTCTCAATTTGATAGTTTATCACTGTTTTAATAAAGTATATGTGAAACACGTTTCTGTGTTTACATCCCATTAGATTGTGTTAGTAGTTTTTCATTAGGAATGTTGCGAAAATTCACAATCAGAGTCAAAAAACATATTTTTCACTTCTCTTCCTCAAAATGGCTATTTTAGTTGTAAAGTTTGCTTTCATTTATTTTGTGTGTCACAAATAATAACTTGTTTCATAAAAAAGATAATTTAGTATTTGAAAATCGAATTATATTTTACATTGGTATACGGTTTTTTTCTCTATGGTATATTGATTTGGGGTTACAAGAAAAAAGCGTTGGCACGAAGATTTCAGAATTTTTGTAATTGACTTTTAAAAAGTAAGTAGGCATATAATAAAACGGTAGTTTCGTACTTTACTCTAAGATTCTAGAAAAGAAACCCTCGTTAGTAGATGGAAGAGAAAATTTGACAATTGAAGTTACTCTGTTTCTTCTTAATTACTGATTTGGTATTTGAACTGAACTATACATTTTCATGTCAAATTCTTCTTTCTTCTGTGTTCTTCATGGTGCTGCGAGAGACTACACTAATCTGAGGCATCAGGAAATTCACGGGCATTCAAATAATCTCCTGTGAATTCTCCCAGTGCCAAGGACCAGTGATAGTCGGTCTTCGTCTTCTAGAAGAGACGTCTTTCCTTCTTAATAGATTGTGGCTTCTTTCCGTTTTTTTTAAATTAACTCTCAAGTCTATTGAAGTCTGTCGTAATAGCTAAATGTAAAAGCTGTGGTAGGTCAAGATGTGATAAGCATGTGATAATCTCGATGATAGAAAATAAGTTATGCATTCGGGAACAAGAAATAAAAATGTATAATTATTTTTTTATTGGATCACTATTTTAATGATATTGCAGGTTACATTTTAAGTACATTGTTTATATGTGCGTATATTTTTAGCAATTCCAAATGTGTCTTAGTCATTTCGAATTTGAAAGCCATGCCAGCCAACTCTGGTAGCAACGTCAAATTGTGTTACAAACTTAACCCTACCTCACCCAATAAAATGCATGCGTTAGAATGTTGCTATCTTAGCTGCCAGTACAATTCTGTCGTTCATAGTATTGTGTGACGAGAACATGTGCGAGTTAGTTTTTACTTAGTGAACAGTTAAGGGTAACGAACATAAGAGGACGCAGAAAAAGGTAGATCGATACATTTGTCGATAATATCTGCCCACAAAATTTCAGTTACTCCAAGATCATAGCGCTTTAATATTAATGACTCGATAAAAATAAGATACATCATAGTAATCTATTAGAATGATTGCTAATCACGGATTAACAATCATTCTAATTATAATCTGGTATCAACTATCGCGACTAATTTTGACACCAAGCCAAGAATAAACTATTAAAAAAAAAAAAATTTTGACATCTCACGTCAAAGGTAGTCAATGGAGTGCTACTATCGTACCTACTATAGTATTAAATGAAGTATATCTTTTATACATGTCTTCTTTATAGAAAGTATCACTATAATTGAAGCACTTATGGATAAGTACTGCGGTTGAGCACGAAGTCGCCTTTCGGCTAAACTGCGGTCAACCGCAAGTCTCCGTGGTACTCTTCGCCCGATTACATCACAGTTCTTATACCATACCGTTCTAATATAAAAAAAAAGATTTTGTAATATACCGTAAAGAAGACAAACCGTTTTATAATGCGTCATAATGACGTGATGAATTTTTATAGTGATACTTGGCTTTTTTTACTCTGATGCCATCTGCGGTTTAAGTTTCATGGTGTTGCCATTTTAGTATCCCGATTTTTATATCTATCAGTGTTGAAAATTAATTTTCGATTTATTTTTATGTTTCGATGGCAATAGAAATAGTAAATAATGTTCTGTTAAGAGAATTTTAATAAATGGGTTTCAAACTAAATAATAAAGAGTACGAATCCCATCTTGGGTACCTGTGGCTGGTGAACTTTAACATTGTGAGTGAAAAATCCTTCAAATTAATACTTGAATTTTTAAATTGATATTTCAACAGATTATCCCAGAGATATCTTTATCAGATTCAATCTATGTACAATACAGTCGACACTCTCTCTAATAGTAATGTTAAAAAGAACGTAATATATACATTAGTGTACATAAACTATGTGACATTATTTTTAGCTATAAATAGAAAAATCCTAAGGTGCTAATGAATATATTTTTTATTTATCGGTCTGAACAGGCGATGAGTTTGTTTCCAATCCAATGACTTATTTTCAACTAAATTGAAAGCCAGGTCAAATATTACAAACACAATAATAAAATACGTAAAAACTTTTTTATATTTATAAAGAAAATAACTAGTACATTTTTGATAGCATTAACGTTTAGTAAGTTACGACTTATTTAATATTCCTTCGCCCAATTAATGTACAGAACTGCTTGCTAACAAGCGTTTTAGTTGCTACCCGTTTTACATAATTACCCCAGTTACTTAATTATCAATAACACGTTAAATTATGTATGTATGCAATCGTTATGACCTATCTATGTTTCAATTTGAACTTAAATTAAGAAATAATAGAGGAAAGTAACTAAATATGGAATAGTAATGCCAAAAATGGAATACTGACATGAGTTTCTTTAAGTTATACATTTTAAATTATTGATTATAGAAATCATAATGAAACAAAACAAGAGAATCCGTAAGCTGATGTCAAGTTTCCTGGATTTATTGAGAATTAACAAACTTTTCTCTATTGGGAAAAATTAAAGATGGAATTCCACGTTGGAATACTTTCTTTAATAAAAAAAAATAAGTTAAAACTTACCTCATACGGGATCAATTGGTTTTTCATTGAACTGAAACAATATAAAAGAAAAATAATATTGTTAAAAATTTCGCTTTCTGATAATACCTAAGTAATTAAAAATTTACAACCTAATAACCTCTATCGGGGCTCCGAATATTCTCACAACTTCCAAAATGTTCAAACACGTCAATTTCCCAAGACGATTACATACATGGCCATTTTGCCATATATCCGAACATCAATATCCCATAATGTCTAGATACCTACCCCAGAATATCTATATCCTGAAGGTGCATTGCCCAACGCCTACTATTTCTTCATTATGAAAGAGCGCCTAAAATAGAAAAGGCTGGCATATAAATTATTAAGTTTATTTCTCATTTCTGATATTGTAAAACCCATTTTGCCCATATTACCTGTCATTATTAATTTGTACCAAGATTGTGTTACCTGAAATCTAGTCTAGTTACGCCATGTCGCGTAAATTTCAGCTGACATCTTATTATTTTATGTACTATATGGTAATTAACTGGTCAACCCACTGCATGTCAACCGTCTACTACAAATCAAAGGACACAATCATTAAGTTCCCACATTAATATTAATGGACGTTATTTAACCGTTAATTAAGTCTAAATTCAACTGTTTCATTCATGGACTTCGTATAAATATTAAATAGGTAGTACACTATGTATCGCTAACTTAATTTGGTATTCATACCAGGTAATGATTTAATTAATTCATTAAAACGAATAGCTATGAAAAGGAATAATTATAGCTATTTGTAACCGAAGAAAATCTTTATATAAACTTAATTTTTGTTTAATTTGTTTGTTAAGAACTTATCTGCCCTGAAAGTAAGCCATATAGGCTAGAGACAGTTACTAGAAAATTGAAGTTTATAGATAAGGCAATAATTAATTATTATTATTATGAAATTTTGATACGCATATAGGTATAGGAAAAAGAAAAGAAATTAAGAGTAAAAAAAAAGTGAGCAAATTGAGAAACTTTTTTGGGTTATTCCGTATTCATCCTAAGACGGCTCATCCTATCCATTATTTTTTCTTTACTGATCCTATTTACGTTATTTACTTAACCCGCAACATTTATTTTATTTTAAATTCCTCATTTATCCCGTCAGTATTCCTAACTCATCCTATTTTGTCACAGTTAAATGTCAATTGTGTACGTTTCAAACAAAAATATCACGAGTCCTATCTTAGATTTTTTTAAGCGTTTTTCTAATAAAAATTCATTTAAAATATAATGTTTTATTTTTAAAAATCAGATTTAATGCTTACTTCATCGTTGTTTTATTAAACAATCAACAAGAAATGTACCAGTAATAATGTTTATTGCATTCATAATGAATGATATGTTTTTTAATTTTCAATTTCGTATATTTTAATGATATAACCTCACTTTTATTATATATTGTACCCATTGTTATTAATTTTAATACTATGCCTAAAAGTATAAAGTATATTTAAACTTAATTTAAACACGGAATTACTTAAAATTATAATCAAACACTATTCACATGAAACATTCAAATCACTTTTTAATATCAAAGAAAACACAATGCCGGTAATGACTGCCTGCTCACGTGCTTACGTCATGTGAGGACGCCTCGGTAGCCATGGTAACGCCATGGGGCTTTATAACAACACGTTTCCAAAGTGAAAATGTGTATTTATGTTAAGTATATTTATTATAAGTGACAGTGATATGACATCAAAAGGTTACAAGACAGAATTTTCCGTCTTTTGTTAGGTACTTGTGGATTTATGTAAAAGTTTCATTATAGTTTTTTTTATTTATATAAAAACCGTTACTTGCTTATAGTTTGTGTATATTTGTAAGTAACATGGTATAGATTTTTTGCTTTTCAATAATTTCCTTAATATATATTGATATAGGTAATGTACTTTGTTGTACACTACAACAATACACTATCGAGCTCTTCTATATCATTGAGTGGTAGCATGTTTAGTTTGCGATAGCAATTTTCGCAAGGGCCGGTCATGGGATGGGTGACCGATTTGTCTCTTTCTAGAGCTCTTTTGTGCTTTGGAAGATACGTGTGCCCGCGTGATGGGTCATGGCCCGCTTTTCCTTATCGATTCCATTCATAGATTGGCACGGGTTGTACCCCAACAGTGAATATATAATAGGCTGGCGATAATGATGATATACGAGACGAAGAAGCAAGATAAGAAGTGTATGACAGGTGGCCTTATGCTATATAACTTTCTATCTATATATATATTAAAGCGAAGGTTGAATAAATCATTTTTTTTTAAATTAATGCGGTTATCAAAAAAATACTTTAATTTTAATTAAATTTCAAGACAAGTTTTATAATGGGCTGAAAAGTGACTAAGAAGTTGTATAAGTATTGTAAAATAATGTGGTGACAACTTCATGGTGTTCAATTAGCGAAAAGTATTTATCAATATCAATAACAACTTTTCTTGAAATAAAAACAACCTGATTATTTTCTAAGAATTGACCAGAAGAAGAATTGATCTACTTTAATAGCTACATTCAATATAATGAGTCTAGGTTATAAGCACTTGCAAATTTTGAAAAAAATTACTTATTTTAAGAACGTCAAAGTATAATCGTGAAAGAAAAGATACGTCTCACTTACATTGCTTATTTTTTAATCAGATACACCGCTTCACATAACAAAATCATAATCAACATCTCATTCAAAAAGTTAATTTTTAGTATTCAACATAACTCTGATCATCATTTGATCACTCATGCTTTCAATGAAAATTAGTGACCTTTCGTCTAACAAATGTGCCTAACTATTTATTAACCGAACCGACCATCAATTTACTACAAATTACAAAAAAAAGTTTCGAGTAGTTTAGCTTCAATTTAAGCACTCCAGCCTTTTCATGACTAAATCCATTAATCTTTATACTAATAAAGAGCTTTTTTTTTACACCACAAAAAGTTCTTATTCAAATTGCTAAGGCGTCGTTCGCGTGTAGAAAATCTCATTCAAATCAGTCTAAGGGTGAAAATAACACGCCCCCATATGACCTCATAAAACTGGTCGACCTGAATGTCCCCTTCGACTCATTGTTATGATTTTGTGAATCAGGCCGGCAGGGCCGTCGCTTCGCTCGTGTCCTAATTTGTTTTATGTTTTGTTTTGTTTGCGGTGCATTGTAGAGACAAATTGGAAAGGTTCCTACTGCGACATATTTGATTCTTTTTTCAAATTATATAATGAAGTTTTGTTACGGGAATGTATCCTTTGTTTGGGTGATTTAATCAAAGGTTTTTGTTTTAAACATACATCTTTTTGATTATATTAAATGAAACTTATATACAAATACTATATGGAAGGAGTTGATAAATACAGGTACAACCAGCTCCTTCGTACTTTAATAGACGTAAAACCGTCTTAGATTCAATTTGTGAACCGTGATTCTAAGACCTAGAAAAAAATAGTCTGTAGTCTCGACAATATATGCTTAATTACTTCTTACTTCTTCTTCAATCACGCTGTATAATGATGTGAACCGCATTAAAATTTTAAAGATATCAGCGCACAGACAGCGGTAAGTGATTTTATTTTTTATAGATTTTTACCCAACGTAGAAGAAGTGTTAGGTTTTTCGCACGTATTTTGTATCTATGTAGGAATATTCTTTATTACCTCATATCTTCAGAACCGCTGAACGTATTTAAATAATTAAGGTAGAGTTAGATTTGTCTTAGTATTCCAAGTATTCTTAAATAGGTAACGTTAAAAAATCAAATATGGCGGCTGTGCGACGCCGTTGTTTAACTAGCTTTCCACCAGCGGCTTCACCCACATGGTCCTTAGGGAACTTTTTTTTTAAATTATCGATTCATATAATGACACAGAAAAAATTACAATGACAAATTGAATAGTAAATTTTTGTTACTATGATAACGTTATCATTCCCTTTACAAAATTCACTTCCATTTTCATCCCTTTATTTGCTGTTTTTCGGGATAAAATATAGTCTATCTTCAGCGCATATGACGTAGCTTCCCGTAAGTGAAATAATTTTTAAAATCGGTCCAGTAGTTTTGGAAATTATTCGTTGCAAAAAAACAAACAATCAAATCAAATAATATTAGTACAGATGATTTCTTTTTTATTTTTATGTCAAATACTACATCAATACGGGTATAAAATTGAAGGTATTTCAAAAAGTTATATCATGATTATCATAACTTTAACACTAACTGTAACCTGGTAATTTTTCTAACTAAAAATATATAATTTAAAAAAAAACAGAAAAACCCACTTGCGTTGACAAAGGTGGAAAAAGTAAAAAAAAGGAATATACATAATATGCTGTCGTAGGCATTCACGAAGAGAGAATGATTTGTCTCATTATTCAACTTCATTTCAGCTTCCGTCCGACTCCATGTTATATATGATTCTGCATATTTCCTTTTTCAGTTAGTTGTTTTTTGTATTATTTCCTCCAAGTGTTTCGGCTTATGACACTTGTACGATTGTCATCTGAAAACTTCTCTATTGTGAGTTAAGGGTCATTTATTTTAATTAAGGCCAGTACATAACACCCTAGTGGTATGGGAAAAAAATAATTACTCTCATAACATTTAATAATTACTTTTATGGGCAGTTGCAACTCTCTTATCATTGTCACATAATTATTATAATTACATATTTTACATACAAAGTATGACAATGATGTTTTAAATAATAGGAAATAGATAATTAAGTTATTGTTGTTATTTTTCATTTATAAATAAGAAAATTTTGTGTTTTGACTTTATGATTTATCTGGATTGTTCCGTTTAGGGTTAACCTATGACGCCTCATCCTACGCGTTTTTTGTGTATTATCTTCTCTTTTAATCGCTCTCTTGTTACTGCAGTTTCAATCCTATATGAGAGATATAGCCTCTTTTAATGTTTAGATTTTGTGAGACCTACAAATTTTCCCTGATCTACACAGGGGGTCAATTCAACTAAACAAATTTTGTTTTAATCGAATCGAAAACGGATCGAAACCGAACGAAA